GGTTTCCCGTCCTCAGTGAAGTTCAAAGTGTTCATGGCTAGCAAGCTTCCAGTGGTTGTACTTTCCCATCTCAAGGACAAGAACATTTCACTCTTGGGCTTGGTGTTTTAGATTGTTTCCAGATCAATGACCCATGTTACTCCAATTTCCCTCTGTTGGCAATAGGCCCCGTTCTCACCATTTACTTTGGTGGCCTCAGCTATTGGAAAAAGGAAAACATCCCCTATTGTTTTGGGATTCTTTTCCCACTTGGGTAGCAAGAGCTAGCTGTCTGGGAAGGCTTTTCGCATCCTGGCCCAGGAAACATGACGCAAAGACAGGGGCTCCTGGCAGAGTACTCACTGCAAGAGCTTATGAGCCCAGAGTTGATGCCAGTGTTGGGGAAAAGCCCTACTTCTCTGTCAGATACCGGTAGCTACCTCTACTTGGTGTTTTTATTTTATTTTATTTAAATATATTTTTGTTGATTTTTTTACAGAGAGGAAGGGAGAGGGATAGTTAGAAACATCGATGAGAGAGAAACATCCATCAGCGGACTCCTGCACACCTCCCACTGGGGATGTGCCCGCAACCAAGGTACATGCCCTTGACTGGAATCGAACCTGGGACCCTTCAGTCTGCAGGCCTAGGCTCTAATCCAGAGCCAAACCAGTTAGGGCTGGTGTTTTATTTTTTGTTTTTGAATCTTTCCCTTTAGCTCATGCTTTCTCTCCTCATTGGCCTTCCCATTCCACCTTCTTGACTGACAGGATGTGAATGTTCTTACGCCACAGGTAACTGACAGTGGTGAAGGCATGATTCCTGACGCTACATGTTTCCTTTCATGCCTCTTTCAGGAAGATCACACTGTCCCACACCCACGTAGTTTACAGTTAGAGGGCCAGCCCCTCCCTGCTGGCGTCCCCATGGCCACACCTCAGCTGCTGCAATCCGCTGGCTGCTTCTGCCTCTGTGCCAGTGCCATGGGGCCGCTGCCAGTCAACCTGTCTCCAGTGACGGCCCTCCTCCCCAAACTGCAACCGATTCCCAGAAGCTTACCATGCAACATAGAAGGAATGTCTAGCATGTATGTGTGTGCCATCGATGGGAGACAAAGAGCCTGGGAAAATAGAAAACACCAAACCCGCTTTGTCCAGCCTCTGGAGGGGACTCCACTGAGCCAGTACCAGTGCAAATAAAACCGTTCTTTTCCGAACCTCCGAGTACGTCTGGTTTGATGCTCCCTCCCCCCACCCTGATTTCTGCCCTAACAACGTAGCCTGGGAAGTGGGGATGGTGTAGAGGCCGGTGGCCTCTGGTTGGAGACGGGAAGGACAGAGGGGACCAGGGCTCTGAAGGAAGAGCCGTCCAGGCAGAGGGAACAGAAGGGTGAGCCCTGGCGGGGAGCACCAGCTCAGTGGGTGCAGGGAACAGGGAAGCCGGGGGACCTGCAGTAGAGCGAGAGGTGCTGGCACATGAAGTGGTAAAAAGAAGCAACAATTTTTTTTTTTTTTTAAATCTCACAGCCTTTGTTAAAGAGTTTGGTTTCTACGTTAACCCCATCTGTTCCTAAAGAGCCAGGGAAACACTTAGAAGAGGGAGGCAAGGTCTGATTTATACATTTCATGAAGCACTACAGGAAAACAGATTGTTCGGGTCAATCCTGGCAGGTGTGGTCGTTCAGGCCAAAGCAGAACCGAGGTCTAAGCGGGCATCATGTAACCCTCAGAGCTTCATTTACTAGGAGCTTGGACATGCGATGTCTCTAGCCACATGGAGGGGGAAGTTCATTGTCCTCAGGATGTACCTGCCTAAGGGCTGACCAGGCAACATCCGGTGTCAAGAGTTCAATGCGGAGCCCAGGAAAAGGCTGGAAATGGAGACTGGGGAACCCTGTTGTCAAAGTCAGATCCAAAAAAAAAAAAAAGAAAGAAAGAAAGAAAAGAAAAAATGTGATTACAGGGAGATCCTAAGACAGGCTGCACTGAGCTACCAGCCAATCCTTATCGCTTTCCTGCTGAAACAGCACCGCCCATTTCTTAGGCAAAGTCTCTAGGGGCCTGAATGCTATTTGCCTACTGAAATGATCTAAGGTTGATTAGTAACTTTTTCTGCTTTTCCTTCAGGTCTCAAGATTTACCACAACCTCAGGACGGTGGTTTGTGGGTAAGATACAGCTTCCTGAGTCCCTGAAAGCCAGTCAGCCCTGGAGCTCCCAAGGCCAAGGCCATTGCAGTAAGATGCCCCCTGGGGAGGATGCAGCATCAGGCCAAGTGTCAGCTGCAGAGCAAAGTGGAGACTGGAGTGATGGTTACCCAACCACAGCCCCTCTCCCATCACACTGCAGCAGCAGCAGCACACACACACACACACACACACACACCACACACACACACACTCACACACACACCACACACACACACACCACACACACCACACACACACACACACACACACACACCACACACACCACATACACACACACTCACACACATACACACACACACACCACACACACACAGAGTGGTGACTCTGTGCAACTCTTCACACTCTGATAACAAGAGTAGGAAGCAGACCCCTCCACCTCCCTCCAACAGGCCAGACAAGGAAAGGAACTAGACTCAGAGCTGAAGGGGCTTCTGAAATCCTGCAGCTAGGAAGGGGAGCGGGGAGGGGCAGGGGAGGGGAGGTCTGCATCAGGCACTCTCCCTGGAGCCTCTGCACTCGCAGCGGGGCTGCCAAAGAGAGGTAAACTCCCAGGCAGGCCCATGCTGGCCTCAGAGGCCAGCCCTCTCTCTGGCCGCAGCTGGGAGAGCAGCAGAGGCAGGCACGCAGGAGGAGCCTCACCGCACACCTTCCTAGGGCCTTGGCATTCGTGCCCATGTAAGAAGGGGAGGTATTTCTTCCCATCTGATTCGTTTCCTGGTAGTTCAGACTCACCAATCCTGCCCATGCCTCGGCAATCTGCAATGTACTAGTATGTTCGGAACTACTGAACATGGAATACCCAGTTACCAAGCCAGCGTTATTAAGAAAGACATACTCAACTGACAACATTCTAAAGTGAAAAACAAAAAATCATTGACCAAAAACCTTCCCATTATCTTATTTTCCTAATCGATGTTTGTTAACATGACACAGGTTGTACATGTGACTTACTTAAACTCATTTCATATTATTAGGAGTGTCTTTTAAGGGTACGACGTTCATGCTTAAAACCCATTTTTTTTTATTCAAATGTCTTACAGTCACTCTAAGAAAGAAGTTCTATTATTATTCCCCATTTTATGATGAAAAAAAAAGACACAGAGAAATTATACAAGTTAACAACAGCCCATAGTATCACAGTCTTTAGAAAATAATAACAATGAATTTCCAAATCAAACTCTAAAATTCTAAAAAATATAGAACAGGATTCTAAAGAAACTGACTCATTTCTCTAAATAAGAAAACAAAATCCCACAAGTAAATTCTCATATCGCACATGCGATTAACAACCTCATGCTAATTTTCAAAACTACTTGATTTATCATAACCAAAACTATATCATAACCAATACTATACAAGAAATTCATATGTAGTTCATTAAAAATAGCATATTTGACTGGCAGTAATGAAACCATGGAAAAGGTAAACCAATTATTGAATAATTATCAAATGTTAATCCTTAAAAATAATTGTTACAAGCCAACCTTGTGAATTCAAGATAGGCATATGACTTCACAGTCACAAAGGTTAGAAAAGCACTTAAAATGTCCACATGGTTAGCATATATAGAAAACTTATTGACTGTGAAAACTGGCCTGGAATTTGGTTGACTATAAAATTTAACTTTGTCTCATTATTTCAAAATTTAAATAGTTTTCTCTACATTATTAAGAACTGTAATCTTAAAATAGTAAAAAAATAACTCCACAAGCACATAGCTATGACGAACCAAGTCGTTCAAAAAGGTATACAATATATGTTCCCACACAGCTTTCCCAGCCCCTGTATTCCAAAGCTTATCTGAAAAAACATCACTATTTGGCATTTATAAACAGTATCCTCGCACTAACTATAGAACTATAAATATTCTATTATATACAAAACGGCCACATCCCAATTTTAATTACACTATTCCTTTTGTTAACATAGAAAGTTGTATCTAATAAAACACACACACACACATTTCTACAATTTCAAAGACAAAATTAAATGTTCTTTGTTGAAGAGATAATGAAGTAATCACCAAGATATTTGAAACAATAAAGTCAACGTAACATTGATTTCAAGGAAAACTAAGAATGCATGTCTTCACATAAAACAGAAACTCACTTTACAAGAGAATAAGAAAGAGATAGCTTTTAAAAATATATTGAATTATCCAACCCAAGAAATAATTAAAAAAAAAAAAAGAGGAGAGAAAGAGAGAGAGGAGGAAAAGAGAAAGAAATGGAAAAGAGAGGAGGAGAGGGAGAGAAAGAGGGGAGGAGAAAAGAGGAGAGAGAGAGAGAGAGAGAGAGAGAGAGAGAGAGAGAGAGAGAGAGAGGGAACCCAAAACTTTGCAAGAATAAAAATACATTCTTAAAGCACTTTTTAAACTTAACTTTTGCTTACAAGCAGGAAACAGAGGCAAACGCAGACTCAGTGCAAAATTTCATATAGAAACTCCACTCCACCAAAACAGAATATAACAGTCAGCGCCTGGTTGGGAATCTCCCTTTGCATTGTGAAGAAAGGTCTTGGTGTAAGAAGGAAAAACACCAATAATGTAGTATATATATATATACTACACAGTATATATGTAGTATATGTGTATATATATATATATATATATATATATATATACTACACAGTATATATGTAGTATATGTGTATATATATATATATACTACACAGTATATATGTAGTATATGTGTGTGTGTGTATATATATATATACTACACAGTATATATGTAGTATATGTGTATATATATATATATACACACACTAATGTAGTATACACACACACACACACACACACACACACACCTTAGAGTGGTTAGGAGCACCACAGTCTTCAGCACCACACGACAATGAATGAACTAGGTAACAGGAGATCCCGTTAAATCACGGCCTCCACAGTGTTTCTGTTAGGTAACACATTAGCCTACGATAAAGACTTACATTCGTGTTTATTGCACTGTAACTTGGCTGTTGTCGTTACACCAGTATGTAAACAATAACGCAGACTTCCTTAATATTTCTGTCTCTGTAGGTCTCTTGGGGTGGAAGACAAGTAATTGAAAAACCACGTGAAGAACTGAGAAATGAGTGCACTCACTCACTCACAGCATCTCTCCCTCATTGCATTTTCCTCAAGACATCCCATCGGAACAAAAGGGTAGCCCCAACTCAAGCACAGTGTCCTCTATTGAAAAACAAAACAAAAACCAAAAAACCAACAAAAACCCCAACCCTGGTCTTTAACTTAATTTTTTTAAAAAGGAAGGCAGAAAAGGTGATACAGCCGCTGGTGTCGGTAGACGCGTCGGATGCTCTCATCTCTTCACGCATGCTTCTGCGAGTGTCCTAAATTTGGGCTCCAGGTGGTCCAGGAAGTCCAGGCGGTCTTCCTCCTGCCGGTCGCTGCAGCAGCCCACGGAGCCGGCCACGGAGCCCTGGCCCTCGTAGAGGTAGGGGAGCACGTAGTCCTGGGCGTGCCCCTGACAGTCGTCCTGGTCGCACAGCTGCACTTTCTGCCAAGGGGGACACAACGCCTCTTAGTATTGGGTTTTTAAACACCAAGACTTACCAACGTGAAAAAAGGGCTTTGATTTACCTTCGATTGTTTAATTTTTAATCAGAGTGTGTCCTCTAATCGATTCCTACATGTAAGAAATGCACATGATTGGTCTGTATCACACATCACACTGTACAGTCATGACATAGCATGTTTCTAAAAGCCACCCAGGGGATACAAGTATACAAGAGCTCATTTCGAGGGACCCTCACTTTCCCTTTAAAAATGTTGGCTGACACAAAATGCATCCCTTAAACCAGTGGTCGGCAAATTCATTAGTCACAGAGCCGAATAGCAACAGCACAACGATTGACATGTCTTTGGAGAGCCACATTTTTTAAACTTAAACTTCTAACACCACTTCTTCCAAATAGACTCGCCCAGGTCATGGTATTTTGTGGAAGAGCCACACTCAAGGGGCCAAAGAGCCGCATGTGGCTCAAGAGTCACAGTTTGCTGACCATGGTCTTAAATGGTCCCAGTGGACACATGTACACATCTTTCCAGAGAGGCCTGGTGACCGTGCTGGCTGGGACCGTCTGAGATCACCCTTTCGATTTGTATGCCATGAGCGCCCACATGGGAAATATAAACACGATGCTGTGAGGATGGTAATTTAAATATCTCACATGATTTCGGTAAGAACTAAAAACCAAGCAACATGTGAGGCCAAGACCCACTTCGCAGAACGAAATCAAAATGAAGGAAAGCAGCTTTTCGCTCTAGACTAATCGTTAAGAACTAGGTTCAGTCAGGCCATTGGATCACAATCATGTAGGAAGCTGTGGAGGAATCGGTGGGCGTGCGGGCGGCTCGGGGAAACGCACCTCGCCGAGGCGGGGCTGGGTGAAGCTGCGCCACTCGGAGTGGGCGCCTCTGCAGGTGTCCACCTCCACGCGGCCCGGCCCGCAGGCCTCCAGCACGTGATGCTGCCCGGGCCCCCGGCACGAGTCCAAGGTCTGGTGTCCCTTCACCATCTCGATGGTCTCCTGCCCTCCATGGATCAGCCCGGGTCCCATGGTGCCACGGGCCCCTGTCCCCGCACCGCCCACGGTGTGGGTGAAGCCGTTGGTGGAATACTGCAACAAAACAGACTGCGTCACGGCCACAGAGGAGACCAAGAGGAACAAGAACAAGAAGAACAACAACAGCAACAAGAACAACAGCAACAAGAACAACAACAAGAAGCATGCGGATAAGGCCTGAGTCTCTGTGCCAGGAGGTGAGCTCTCTGAGAGCAGGGGCTGAGTCTGCCTGGCAGCCCTGAGGCTCAGCTATTGCAACCACAGGCTCAGTGGTGTCTGAGGCAAGCCACACACGGCAGGGGTTGAGCGGCCCGGACCCTGGGACAAATCGGAAAGCTGACGGGGTCCTGTCGTTAGACACTTCCTCCAAGCCTGCCCAGCTTCGTCTGCTAAAGCCTCCCAGCGCCTCCTGCCTGCAGCCAGGACGCTGGGACTGTGTCTCAAACACACTTCCCCTGCTTAGTCTAACGCCACTCCCGCCACCAGACTGGGGAAACAGAGACGAGGACCGGGATTTTCATTCTGTGTCGAAGCTGCTGCCCCTTCAACCAAAACAAGAACGACAGAGCTAAAGTGGCCCTAAAGGAATCTTAGCTGTGGCCTGGGCACGTGTGGGCGGGCACCATTCGATGTGTCTCTCTCACATGGACGTCTCTCTCTCTCTCTCTCTCTCTCTCTCTGTCTTCCCCTCCCTCCCACTCTCTAAAAATCAATGGGAAATATATTTGGGTGATGGTTAACAACAAAAAGAATTTTAGCTGCAATCATGAACCTTGGCAATCTAAATAAATAAAATTACATCGGCCGGGAAAAGAAGGCCACAAGAGCTTGCCCTGATTTGCTACGTCGTGTTGTTAGAGAGAACCCCAAGTTTCATCTCCCCCCACACCCTCCTAGACGCCACCCTCCTTTTTCTAAATCTCTCCAGCTAATGACCTGTGAATAATTAATCGAAACCTTTTTACAACACAAACAGTGGTTTCAATATATATATATATAGATAGATATGTAATGTTGAAATCATGAAACACTTGAAATAGGAAGTAATGCTAGCAGGCTCAGGGACTGTTACTATTGAGTAACCCTGTGTGGCCACACGGAAATGCCACCAGTTGCCAGGGGAATGGATGCCGTGTTGCATGTTCCATGGGACCGATGACGTTTCTATACAGCAAGTTACCTGGTTTCAAAAGAACTTTGTTCAGAAAAAGATGACGATCGTTGGTTAGGCCAACTTATCCCTTGTATTTATTTAAAAAAGACAGTCCTGGCTAGTGTTGCTCAGTGGGTTGGGCCCCGCTGTCCTGTGCACTGAGAGGTTGCCAGGCGGATTCCCGGTCAGGGCACACGCCAGAGTGGCAGGCCTGATCCCCAGCGCGGGGCGTGCAGGAGACAGACGATCCACCCGCTCTCACATCCCTGTTTGTCTCTCTCTCTCCCCCTCTCCCTTTTTCTCTCTCTCAAAACCCATGGAAGTATTTAAATTAAACAATAAAGACAAACCACTCACCACTTTGTCTTCGCCGGGGGCCTCGGTGTTGGACACGATGAGGTTCTGCTGGGTCAGGTCGTCGGGAAGGGGTTTGGGCTTCCTGGCCGCCCCCGTGGCCCCGCAGACGAGGGTGAAGAGGATGCCTGCGGGGGGAGAGTCCCTGAGTGAGCACCCGGCGGGGGAGGCATGGGCGTCTGATGTGGACGGGAGGCGGCTTTCCGGGAAACGCATGCATGGCAGCTGGTCTCCCGGTGCGGGACAGACGCACCTGCCCCCGCAGACAGATGGGGCAGAGGCCTGCCTCGGGCTGTGGTCCGGGCTGAGTTTTGTTTACACTGAGATGCCAGCGGAAGTACAAATACAGGCCCATTCGCTGGTGCATTCAATCTGCACGCTAAGCTGAAACCGGTGTGGCTCAGTGGTAGAGCTTCGGCCTGCGGACTGAAGGGTCCCAGGTTCGATTCCGGTCAAGGGCATGTACCTTGGTTGCGGGCACATCCCCAGTAGGGGGGTGTGCAGGAGGCAGCTGATCGATGTTTCTCTCTCATCGATGTTTCTAGCTCTCTATCCCTCTCCCTTCCTCTCTGTGAAAAATCAATAAAATATATATTTTTAAAAAATCTGCGTGTGAAATAGGCATCCAGCTATCAGCCGGAGGAACAGCCACAGACACAGCGCTGCTCTCCCCGCGTGCCCAGAGAGTTACTGGAAGAGCTGTGATCCGGGTGCAAGCAGGACTCACAGAACAGCAGGGCGATGCCCAGCAGGATGGCCAGGATGGCCCACTTCCCCAGCCGGAAGTCCCCGGCGCCGGTCCTGGCGAGCCCGCGGAGCGAGCAGTCGTCCTCGGTGATGCAGTCACACACCATGACGGTCAAGGGCGTGACGCTGGACAGGCCGTGCCTGTCGGTGACTCTGACGCGGACCGTATACGGTCCGAACGGAGCGTCGTTCTGGTTGTAAAGCCGTGCTGCTGTATCTGAAAAAAACACACAAGGAAATAAAACCAAGCGTCACCACAGGTCATGGCTTAGTCGCTATGACGGGACAGACCTCACACTGCCCTGCACATGGTGTCCCCGGTGGATGGCGCATCTGCTGCGAGATGGCAGATGTGAATGGGCCGAACGGTCCTAACCTACAGCCCTTGGTTGGAAGCATACTGCGTGTAAATGTTTGTCTCTGTCGCCTCTCTAAAAAGGTCTGGTTTTTTGTAATAATAGTTATCTGTCCATGGATAACGTTTTCCTCTCCTAACTAGGGGACTTGTTAGGAGATTGGTTTTTATCACAGCTTTGACAAATCCTACCTAATAAAAGGGTAATATGCAAATTACCCCCTGGACCAGGAGTCCAAGCTGGGGGCAGGGCCAGCCCACCAACCCCCCCAGCCATTCCCCCCACCAACCAGACCCTGCCCGTGCAGGATTGGTGCACTGGGCCTCTAGTTTAATAGAAGCATTTGTGGTGTTTCTTTTATACATGATTCCAGACACAGGGCCTTGACTTGCCACTACAGCTTCTGTACGACCTTATTTTTCTTCCTCCAATCTGTTTTCCCTTTCCTTTTACTCAGGCCCTTTCTCCTTTTAATTTGCCTCCATGAGAAGTTGAGGAGGAATTGCTGAAAGCATGAGGTTGACGATCTTTCCAGGGCGTTTTATACACAAACCCCACTCAGCTTTATTGGTCTGCATCGCAAAAGAGGAGCCAGGGAGACAGGGCATCTGGCCCCGGGCGGGACAGCCAGCAGACGGAGCGGCTGCGGGAGGGTAGGAGCTGTCATAGGCAGTGATGCCAAGGGCACAGAGAGGGTCCCTTTAATTTTCCCCATCCTTGTCGCAGAGGTGACTGTGCTTGACAGCAGAGGCACAGACGAGGAGCCAAGTTCAGGGAGAACCCCAAGCAGAAGACCACAGTGATGGCGCAGACCACCCTACGGTGTGTGGATGAGGAGCGAGAATGAACGTGAGAGTCCACGTTAACACCTAAGGCTGTGGTCGGCAAACTGCGGCTCACGAGCCATGTGCAGCTCTTCAGCCGCTTGAGTGTGGCTCTTCCACACAATCCCACATTCGGGCGTGCAAGTAGAGTGGGATGGACACCTCGTGGCCCATGCGCAGAAGTGGGTTTTCTGCCTGGGCGAGTCTGTTTCGAAGAAGTGGCGCTGGAACACTCAAAGGGCCAAAGAGCCTCGGCTTGCTGACCGCTGGCCTAAGGGAACCCTGGCACCAGACGGATTGGAGATGAGCCCCGGGGAGGTCCGATTCTGCCACATGACCGCCGAGAAGCCTGCCTTCCTCACGGCGGCTCCCACTGCCACCTCGGTGAGCAGGGTAAAGAGCGTCAGACGCGTTCGGATGGGGGCGGAGATCAGACTGGGATGGCACACCGGAAACAGATACTGTCACCCCAAGGAATTTAATTCCAAAAACTACAAAGGAAAACATATCTCAGACACCCTCCTGGTGAAAAGGACCACGTGTCTGGGCGTCCGTACCATTGATTGTGGTCAGTCCCCACGCTCTCCGGGCGTCTCGATCAGAGTCCTCCTCCAGGCTGAAGGTGAAGGGCGGGCCGTTTGCGGGGTCGTCGGGGTCGAAGGCCACGATCTCCGTGGAGGACATGGTGGGCTTGCAGATCACCGCCGTCTTCCTCAGAATGACCGGGCCGTTGTCATTCACGTCCTCCAGGACGATCCCCAGCGTCCCGGTGCACGTCCTCCCAACTGTGAGATCCGATACAAACACAGCACGGAACGTTCTGAGTTTTCACCAGGACATTTTTATTTAAATATTTATCGGGCACCTTTCAAAAGGCCGCACAGACAGTAACTGCTATCGAAATTTGTCATTTACTCCCTATACAGCTACCGTAGACCTGGAAACTCTTATGGACGTGAGCTTTGACTAATTTTTAAAAGGAGAAAGGAAAAGAGTATGAACAGGGCTTTTAAAAATATATGTTTTTTTGTGTTTGTTTTTTTTTTATGAAAACGGTTTAGCTCAATGGATAGAGCGTCGGCTTGGGGACTGAAAGGTCCCGGGTTCGATTCCAGTCAAGGGCATGTACCTTGGTTGCGGGCATATCCCCAGTAGGAGGTGTGCAAGAGGCAGCTGATCAATGACTCTCTCTCATCGATGTTTCTAACTCTCTATCTCTCTCCCTTCCTCTCTGTACAAAATCAATAAAAAATATATTTTAAAAAAAGAATATATATATATATGTTTTTTATTTTGCAGTGGGGCAAATAAGTAGGTTCTCTCTATAATTAATTTTTCTGCCAAATGAAATATTATAAGAGATAGGACTACATAACTTGAAGTTCATTTTACTTGTCATTTTCTCAATATTTAATGAATACTTAACTTTTTTGCCCTTGACCAGAATTGAACTTGGGACCCTTCAGTCTGTAGGCCGACACTCTATCTACTGAGCCAAACTGATTAGGGCTGGATACTTAACTTTTATTTTCTTTTTAAAAAAATATGTATTTTGATTTTTTACAGAGAGGAACGGAGAGATAGTTAGAAACCTCGATGAGAGAGAAACAGCCACCTCCTGCACATTCCCTGCTGGGGATGTGCCCACAACCAAGGTTCATGCCCTTGACCGGAAATGAGCCCATGACCTTTTAGTTGGCAGGCCGATGCTCTATCCACTGAGCCAAACCGGTTTCGGCTGGATACTCAACTTTTAAAAGTGACTCAAGTTCCAAGCGTTTCTGGGACTGTTATTTTATCCTGACACCTAAACCAGAGGGTGCTAGCAGAAAGCAGACAGGAGTGAAGAGGCACAACAAACGTCTGCATGGCAGTCAGTGCCACAGGGGAAGATGCCCTGGGACTGCATCCCGCTGCCGGGAGATGTGCGCGGCTGGCCTGGGAACGCCGCTCTTACCTTCGTCCGTTGCCAGGATGGTGACGTTATAGAGCCCATTCCTGATGGACTCAGCCTCCCTGTCCAAGTTCCTGAACGTTGTGATTGATCCCGTGTTCTCATCCACCGTGATCCAGCCTTTCGGGTCATTTATTTTCTTGTACCTGCCCATCAGGAGTTAAAATAACAGCGTATCATGAGCCAAGTGATGATCGCGGTGTCCAATGAGTTACAGACGTAAGAAGCTCGGACCCATACGCACCGGATGCCGCTGCTGCCCTTGGTGTCCGGGTTGTAGGCTTTGTAGCCGCTGCTCCTCGTGTTCACCGGCGCGTTCTCCTTAATCCGCACCGTCTGCACCGGGGGGACGCACTCGGGGCCCTCGTCCTGGTTCTTCACGTTCACCGTGACCGTGGCCGTGCTCACGGCCGACCTGGAGGTCGTTTCTCGGTAGTACGGGGCTTCGTTAGCCACGCAGATTTGCAGGGTCAGCTGCTGCCGCTCCTCATAGTTCAGCGGCTGCAAACGCAATAGAGCTGGAGATCAGTCCCCGACACGGGATGCTGGGCAGTGCCAACGGGCACGTGTGACTCCTTACATGTGGAGCCGTGTTGGCGTGGTGCTGGGAAGGGTCAGGAGACTATCAAACAAGTGCCCAGAAACGAGGGGGGGGGGGGAGGGCAGTCCTTCACCTCACTCAGTGTTTGGTGAAACCGGTAAAACCAAACCAAACCAACAAAAACCCCGCTCCCCAGCTGCAGGTGAACACAATTTTTAATTGATTTATGGAGATACGAGCTGTTTCTGAAATGTAAAGTGCTACTTATGGGCTATCGAGTCAATTGGCCAAAAGGAACAAATTTCCGTTATAAAGTCAGTATGTCATGGGGATCATGGGAATGTCATGAACAGCATGGTGATTGGAGTTAATAATCCCGTACTGCATATTTGAAAGTAGCTAGGAGCATGGATCTTGAAAGTCCTCAAGAAAAAATTTATAAGGAAAAAATTTCTTGTATGTGTGGTGGCAGATACTAACTTGACTTGATTGTGGTGATCATTTTGCAACACATACAAGTATCATGTTGTATCCCTGAAACTGATGCAATGCTATGTCATACGTCCATTTAAAGAAAAAGGCTCCCAAAATGACATATCCATCCCATTATATATGAAGAACATAGCATTTACATTTATCTATATATCTACCTTATTCCTACATTTATCAAAATCCCTTCCTTTTCATTAACTCTAGTAATCTAACCTATCATATCATAATCCACCAACAACTAATTTGCTAACTTGTTCTTACCTTAACCACACACAGCACCCCTTCATTGGTTTTGGGATCCGTTACAATTTTAAAATGTCCGTTTTCATTGCCCGATAAAATGGTATAGACAGCTCTCCAATTAGCGGTGTTAATTAAATCCTTATCCTCCACGCTGACACGCAAGATTTCCACATCCACTGTATTTTCTTCCACGAATGCCACATACTAAAATAATACAAGCAAAACAAAGAGTTAGCAACTCCCAAAAAACAGAACACCGTGTGGTGAGAGCCTGCTTCTCATTTCCGAAGGTCTATGTTTCCATGGTTTTAAACTCCACTCCAGGCGGCCGTCAGGGGACCCTCCATTAGAAATCATGGACGTACATGGGCCTCGTCAGCCACGGACACCGGGCTCCCGCGGAGACCACGTACTTACAGAAGAGCGTGTGAAGGTCGGCAGGTGGTCGTTGACATCTTCGATGTAAATGACGCAGGTGGCAGTGGTTTGCAAGCCAAAATGTTGGCCATTCATGTCTTGCACTTTTATATTCAACTGGTATTTGTCCAGTACCTGGAAGGAACGTAAGAATTCAATGGCTGAGTGAAAGCACCATTAGACACAAAGTCTTATTCTACACTTTGCCATTACCCCTGCATTGAAGAATGTAAGAGGGATTCTGGTAAAGTTCATCGCTTTCAAATGCTGGCAGAAGAATAATCCCCTCCCACTAGTAATATTCACTTAGTTCGTGAAAGCAGAGCAGTTTCCTCAGGTTTAAAGTGCTGCTTCTAGATGGGGGAATCAATTGGTTTTAAATTTACTCAATGGAAAGAACAGATACAGTCCTAGTACAGTGGTCAGCAAACTCATTCGTCAACAAAGCTGAATATCAACAGTATAATAATTGAAATTTCTTTTGAGAGCCAAATTTTTTAAACTTAAACTATACAGGTAGGTAAATTGTTATTAACTTAATTAGAGTTCTCCTAATTTTGTGGAAGAGCCACACTAAAGGGGCCAAAGAGCTGCAGTTTGCCGACCACTGTCTTAGTACATTTAATATTGCCTATTAATCAATCAAAATCTTTATCTCCCACCCAAAGCACATTCTTGTATGTTCAAAAACAGATGTCAGTGACTCATGCCAGATGATGTGAATATCATTTTGTAAAAAAGAGAGATTTTAAACATTTACATTTAAGAATTTACATTGATAAAAATATCATTAAATTAGCATGAAAACAGGGGTCGGAACTATGTCATTTGTTGTCTCCAAGGAAAATAGAATCTGGCTCTTAGGAATCTTCATTCATTAGAGATTGCAGAAAGCTTACCACTAGTTAAAAATGTGTTTCTCCTTGTGGTGGTTTTATTTATGGTAAGTAATTGAGGCATAGATTATAAACACGGAGAAGAATGCTCCAGACTGAACATGAGAAGACCTGGGTTCTATTCCCAACTCCCAAAATAACAAAATGTAATCGCAGGCAGTTGAAACATTCCCCTTACCTAGGTTTCCTCTTTTATAAAACAACTAGGGGATCGGTGCACAAAATCTGTGCATGAGTAAGGTCCATAGGCCTGGCTGGGGATAAAGGCCTATCAGGCCCTTCCGGCTGCCAGCCAGGGCCTTCCTTCATTCTGCACCACCCCCTGTTGGTCAGCACATGTCATAGCAAGCAAGCAAACTCCTGGTCTCCCCATCAAACTCCCAAGCAGACAATTTGCATCTCTATATTTGCATTTACAATATAGAGAGATGATAATAATGCATAATTCCTACATAATTCCCCTCTTTTTGTAAGACAAAAAATAATATGTGAAAAACCATCCTAATCTTCTATTTAGAATATCCACCTTCTTCCCTTAATTCCATCACTCTTAAATTTCCTTATCTTCATTCATTTCCTTAAAAACTAAAATTTCTGTCAATCTCTATGCTCTTTATACATATTTTTTTTTCTGATTTACTTCTCTCTCACAACCAATCACATATGTTGGCTTGAAAAGAACAGCCCTATTGTATTAAACATTTTAAACACCTCATTCCAGTAGACTTCCAGGAGGAAATATACATTTTATTCGTAGTGAACTAAGCCTTATTGGAAATAACCAGTTGGTTGATAAGAGAAGACATGCAGTGTTGTGGGCCTAAATGTGAATCTGTGCTGTCCTCTGGGGTCCAAAGGCCTTCCAGGGCGGAAGGCAGCAGAGGGAAGCTGGAATCTGGGAGCCTGAAATGGCCCCAGAGCCACTGGATAAAACCGCCCCAAGACTCCTTGGTTTGTCTTCAACCAATTCTGTCAGAAGAATCTACTCAAGAGACTGATTTACAATCTGCTTTCCCTGTGTACATCAATCCTGTGAAAACCCTGCATATGATGCAGAGCTTTAACACAAATTCATGCATTTATCCAGGAAATGATATTGTATTCTTCACTGGCACATACTCACAATAAACATAGATGAATTTATAAATAATAAGACAAATAAGTGCCAATTTCACTGTGGAATTTCTTTGTGGATGAGGTAGGAAAAAATGATTAATTTATTCAGTTTCAGTCCACAGTCCATGTGAAGAAATGGGAGGTGTGAACTGGGCACATCTGCTGAGTAACACAGTCGGTGGTTCCCCTCAAGGAAAGAGCTGAACTAGCTGCTGCTGTTGTGTTTAAAAGCTACCGTCTTCAGATGGAAGACATCAGTGGTTATTCAGGTGGGTACATTTGAAAGACATTTTGTCAACCATGAAGTGTAACATGCTTCAAATGGTAATGTTTGGAAAACTGGATTCATGACATACCGTTCAAAAACACATTGACTACAGGTGCCATGAACTAACATGGCGAACAACATGTGGTGAGTGTCAGCGTTACCTCTCTGTCCAGCTGAGACGTGGTGGTGGTGATCATGCCTGTGGTGGGGTTCATGAAAAACAGGGTGGGGGCCGCCGGCAGCTGCTGCACGATGGAGTACTTGAGCAGCGTGTGCAGCGAGCCAGGCTCGTCGTTGTCAGTCGCACACACCTGTCCCACGGTGGCGCCTACACAGGGGAAAAGCCTCTGTAACTGCCCAAACTTTTACATTCTCAACTTTCCCTTCACATACGTATTATTGTTGATTCCAGAGAGGAAGGGAGAGGGAGAGAGAAATAGAAACATCATTGAGAGAGAGAGAGAACCATTGATCGGCTGCCTCCTGCACACCCCACACTGGGGATGGAGTCCCAACCTGGCCATGTGCCCTGACTAGGAAACAAACTGTGACCTCTTGGTTCATAGGTCAATGCTCAACCACTGAGCCATACCAGCTGGGCTCAACTTTCCCTTTATGTAGTTCCTTTCTATGTACTTCAAAAATGCTTTGGAACACTTACTAATAAATCAGAGTAATAATCGTTTTTATTATAATAACAGTTTGTGGATTTCTAGGTGAAGCATCCCCTCCTTTTCAGTATCCCAATGGCCTAACATTTTGGAATTCAGTGACCATATCCATATTTACTGCATTCAATGAATAATTTTATAAATGTTGACATTATTCCTTCATGGTCTTTGTATTTCTACGCTGAAGAGTTCTAATTATTCTTTAGTCTTTTTTCTATCTGTAAGCTTGTACTTAAATTGATTATACAGGTCCATTTTCTCTGAAAATTCTTGGTTTAGTTGGATCTTCCTAAAGGAAGACTCAAAGATTGCATTCTTCCAGCTAACATGGTCCATTTCCACAAGATGAGAAAGCATCTCTATTATTATCAATGACCTTTAGGATTGTGCCCAGAATAGTGTTAATCATTTAATCACTATAGAACATCAGTAGATCCCATCAAGGCTAAGATTTTTACTATTTTTGGTGTACACTCTCTTAACAGGATTCTTTTATTTCACACATTCTTCTTCAAGCCAAACTGTCCCCTATCCATTCTGATTCCACATCTTCCCTGGCAATGCTAGTTACACCAGAAGGCAAAGTAACATTTATTGAGGAATCCCTACTTTTCGGACACTGTGCTTGGCATTCCATGTATATAATGCTCCAACTAGAGGCCCGGTGCACAAAATTTGTGCACGTGTGTGTGTGTGTGTG